GACAGTATGAGACAGTGGAATAACATGGAGTTCCACAAAATTACCCGCACCGACATTTCGAGTGGTTTGGGGTTCAAATGAAACAGCGTTGTTTTGTCTTTGGGGTCTTTGTTCAGCACTACATGCTCATGTAAACGTTCACATAGATGTGTTGTTTTCATATGGTTTCATGGCTTTTCTATGTTTTTCCAGCATTTGCAAACTCAGTTACGACTCGAATAGGTCAGCCCAAATCAGCGATGATGAGATGATGGGTCGCATCATGGTGTCCCAGCTGCAGTCAGGTCACACCAATCCCTCGCCACCACCATGGCCGCCATTTTCATCCATTTCCCAATATCTGGGACACTTTTGGACAAATTTGTGTGTTCTTCCCATGAGCAAACAGCGATTCATCCAGCTTCCTGTGAGGATTCATCCAGGCACCCAGGCCGCCTGCGGCCTTTTTTTTCCTGTCAGGAAATGGTTGTTCAAGATGCATCCATTATTCGTCTGCCAAACACCGAAGCGAATAGTTCGGAGGACCTGCAATCGCTGTATCGCTGTGACCGGGACATTTTTGTGAGTTTCGTGGGATACAACGCCTTGACACTTCTCCAACCAGCTGGCTTTCAATCGGACACGATTTTCACCATATTTGGGAGGATTAACATCCCAAAATCACAGCGAATCCCATCCCCGTTCATATTCAACACCTCCCAGAAACCATGGTAAAACGTATGGTAAAACGTATGGTAAAACGTAGGGGATGAAACCACAAAAATAGGAACCATGGGGTGTTGAATATGAAAGGGGGATAGGATTGGTAGTTCTCCAGCAACTGACCATGATAATTGAGCATGCTGAATTGATATACTAACCATTTTATATAAATCATATATTAATCATATATAAACCATAGTGCGGGGATGGAAGTCATGACTCCAACCTGGCTCAGGAGTGCACTTGGCCCAGTTGTAGTGCCTACTGCGTTCCGTCTCTCGACTGAAATGTGACCCTCTCAACCTCTGGCCATAAATAATCCATGTCACCAACCTGGGTAGATGACATTCCCACAATTTCCCACATCATCACTTTGTTTTGGATTAAGGGATCACTAGGTCACTAGGTCACTAGGGCTTGGTGCGGGTTTCTGGCGATTTTTCTGGCCCAGGTGCGCCAAGACCAACAAGTACTGGACTGCCACATGGTGTGACACATTTTCAGCTACTTTCAGCTACTTTCAGCTACTTTCAGCTACACCAAAATGATCAAAATGATCCAGGACTTGCCTCTCATCGGGGAGCAAGTGTCAAGAAAACTCCGAATGCGTCTGCCACTAAGTTGAGATGGAAAGATTCAGTGGCAGGGTGAAAGGCTATGCAGCTATGCAGCTATTATCATGTCTACCAGGATCCCATGAAGCAAAAGCCTGAGAACCTCAGACACTCAGATAGGTATAGATAGGCAAGGTTCTACTGACCATTCCTTGTCACCCTTGTTGTTCACCACTGACATTGAGCTGCAAAAACCTCCTTGTCTTCGAGCACTGTCGGCAGCGCAGCTTTTTGGGCTGTGCCAAGCACAAGTAGTGACGTCGCATTTTTTTTCAGAAAAAGCATCGGGTGTTTTCGCAGCAATCAACGAGAACACAAACAGCAGTTTCAACCAAAGATGTGCAGAATCAGAGAAATGACGGCACAAGCACACATGATGCCAGCACATGTCACAACGAATCTGGATAGCGGTCCAATGTTTCCATCGAACAACACCATTTGAAGTCCATAAAATTGATCTGCATTGAGTTCTCTCGCAACCATCCCCTGCCAGTCACTACCATATTGGCCAATATTGGTCCCTACAATAGCCACGATTAGCCTCACAAAATCCGTATCGTCGAGGGGATACAACCGGGGGATGATCTTTTGAACGCACCTCTCAGTGTCTCCCTTTGGCCATGAAGCTTCGCCAGAGGGAACTGCCAGCGCTTCAAAATGACCTCACGCGACAGATGCGTGAGATGTGGCAGCAAGGTCATTTATGTGACTTGGTGGGGAACTTAAGATGGATAGATCAGATAGATCCGAAGCCATGCAAAAAAAACATAATTACTTTACTTCGTGTGATCCCCACCATGACATTTACAAATTTATACATTTTCTTACTGGAAAATCTTCTGGCATTCTATCTGACATATCTTCTGACATTCTATTTGGCATTCTATCTGGCATATCTTCTGGCATATATTCTGACATATCTTTTGGCATTCTATCTGGCAAATCTTCTGGCATTCTATCTGGCATATCTTCTGGCATTCTATCTGACATATAAATGGGCTAACGCCCTGGTGCCGCCGACCCCCTTTCAGGGGTGGAGGAAGGAAAGCACATGACCCTGACGGGGGTTCTAACCATCAATGGGAGTTGATGGCATTTGGTTGACCACATTGTAGCAATCCCCCAAGAGATATAATAGCGACATCTTAAAATATTGATTGGATTATGATTATGATACATTGTCAGACATTCTCCGTTGTTTGCAGGCTATAATGTTTTGCGACGTAAAAAAATACTTTACTTTGTGTGATCCCCACCATGACTTATAGATTTTCTTACTGGCAAATCTTCTGGCATTCTATCTGATATATCTTCTAGCTTCTATCTGGCATTCTATCTGGCATATCTTCTGGCATATCTTCTGGCATTCTATCTGGCAAATATTCTGGCATTCTATCTGGCATACCTTCTGGCATTCTATCTGGCATATCTTCTGGCATATCTTCTGGCATTCTATCTGGCATATCTTCTGGCATATATTCTGACATATCTTCTGGCATTCGATCTGACATATCTTCTGGCATATTCTGACATATCTTCTGGCATATGTTTCTTGTGAGGGGTGGCAGCAGCCTTGAACGTCTCTTAAAATGACCGCAACGGCCTGCAGGACTTGTGGTAGGGCTGCATTAAAGGTCTGGCCCCGCGGCCTGAGTTGGCTCCTGGGAAGCTGCAGGGAAGGGGTTTGGCAGTGTTTGCGGGCTGGCAAACGTCAGCCTTACCTCCTTAAAAGGACCTTGCAGGGCCCTCAGGACTTTTGTTGGAGCTGTCAGGAAAAGTCTGCGCGGCCTGAGTGGCGCCTGGGAGCTGCAGGGGAGGGTTTGAGAGTTTTGAAGGCTGGCAAACGGCAGCCTTGAACCTCCTTTAAAAGGACACTGCCACGGCCTCAGGGACTTGTTGGAGCTGCAGGAAAGGTCTGCCGCGGCCTGAGTGGCGCCTGGGAGCTGCAGGGGAAGATTTGGCGAGTTTTGCGGGCTGGCCAACGGCAGCCTTGAACGTCCTTAAAAGGACACTGCCAGGGCCTCAGGGACTTGTTGGAGCTGCAAACGGCAGCCTTGAACCTCCTTAAAAGGACACTGCCAGGGCCTCAGGGACCTGGGAGCTGCAGGGAAGGGTTTGGCGAGTTTTGCGGGCTGGCAAGCGGCAGCCTTGAACGTCCTTAAAAGGACACTGCCAGGGCCTCAAGGACTTGTTGGAGCTGCAGGAAAGGTCTGCTGCGGCCGGAGTGGCGCCTGGGAGCTGCAGGGGAGGGTTTGTTTTGCGGGCTGGCAAACGGCAGCCTTGAACGTCCATAAAAAGACGCTGCCACGGCCTCAGGGACTTGTTGGAGCTGCAGGAAAGGTCTGCCGCGGCCTGAGTGGCGCCTGGGAGCTGCAGGGGAGGGTTTGGCGAGTTTTGCGGGCTGGCAAACGGCAGCCTTGAACGTCCTTAAAAGGACACTGCCAGGGCCTCAGGGACTTGTTGGAGCTGCAGGAAAGGTCTGCCGCGGCCTGAGTGGCGCCTGGGAGCAGGAAAGGTCTGCTGCGGCCTGAGTGGCGCCTGGGAGCTGCAGGGGAGGGTTTGTATTGCGGGCTGGCAAACGGCAGCCTTGAACGTCCATAAAAAGACGCTGCCACGGCCTCAGGGACTTGTTGGAGCTGCAGGAAAGGTCTGCCGCGGCCTGAGTGGCGCCTGGGAGCTGCAGGGAGGGTTTGGGGAGTTTTGAGGGCTGGCAAACGGCAGCCTTGAACCTCCTTAAAAGGACACTGCCACGGCCTCAGGGACTTGTTGGAGCTGCAGGAAAGGTCTGCCGCGGCCTGAGTGGCGCCTGGGAGCTGCAGGGAAGGGTTTGGGGAGTTTTGAAGGCTGGCAAACGGCAGCCTTGAACCTCCTTAAAAGGACACTGCCACGGCCTCAGGGACTTGTTGGAGCTGCAGGAAAGGTCTGCCGCGGCCTGAGTGGCGCCTGGGAGCTGCAGGGGAGGGTTTGGCGAGTTTTGCGGGCTGGCAAACGGCAGCCTTGAACGTCCTTAAAAGGACACTGCCAGGGCCTCAGGGACTTGTTGGAGCTGCAGGAAAGGTCTGCCGCGGCCTGAGTGGCGCCTGGGAGCTGCAGGGGAGGGTTTGGCGAGTTTTGCGGGCTGGCAAACGGCAGCCTTGAACGTCCATAAAAAGACGCTGCCACGGCCTCAGGGACTTGTTAGAGCTGCAGGAAAGGTCTGCCGCGGCCTGAGTGGCGCCTGGGAGCTGCAGGGGAGGGTTTGGGGAGTTTTGCGGGCTGGCAAACGGCAGCCTTGACCCTCCTTAAAAGGACACTGCCAGGGCCTCAGGGACTTGTTGGAGCTGCAGGAAAGGTCTGCCGCGGCCTGTTGCGTTTTGGAACGCCGTAGAAACAGAAATTGCTGTGGCATGAGTGGCTCGTGGGAAGTGCACAGAAATTGCTGTGGCCTGAGTGGCTCCTGGGCGGTGAACAGAGGGTGCTATGGCCTGGGTGGCTCGTGGAAAGTGCAAAGCATTGGGAACGAAAAAAAAGTTCCACACCTGCGGTGGTCCCAGGCGCCGCCCCTGCCTTGGCTAAGGCGGGGTCGGCGGATATCATATCAAATCATATCATACCATATCATCTTTTAGTTCCATGTTTCATATGTTTCTTGAAGCTTGTTGACCTCCCTTTTTTCAAGCTGCCCTACGGGAACTCGGGGCCGCTAGGACTCCGAAGGAGGTTTCGAAGGAGGTTTCGGAGGTTCAGATCGACATCCCGAGAGCTGGACATAAATATCCTCTGGGCCTGGCCAGGCAGGGCCGGAAGATCACCTGAAAGGACCCAATGGACCAATTATCCAGGGATTTATCATGAGTCATATATGTCATATCATCCATAAATGATGATTTACATGATCATTTATTTGGGCAAAATGAAAAACTAGAAGGTGAATTTTTGGCCAGGCTGGATTTCAGCTAAGAACTATACTGAAAAATGCTGACTGTTTTTCAGCTGAGGTTTATGGCTTCAAGCCATGTGGTGATGGGGCATCTCTTTGCCAGAGGAGTCATCGAACCTCTCTACTTCTTTGGCTGGGGATTCACTTGGGTGTATCTCAGCTATCGAGATCTGATGGTTGCTGTATGTTGCTGGGGACTTTGCTGGCGACTGGAAAATGATGGAAAATGTATGTCGATCATTGTCGATCTATATAAGGCCTTTTCTGGGATGAGGAAGGTGAAGTCTGAAGCCTGGTGTCAAGATGGTGTCAAGACTGAGGCCATGGTTCTTCATGCTGAGTGGCTTCGTGCTTTTCTCGGCGTATTTGAACAAACCCAAGACCGATTCTATGTTTGGGTTGCTTGGCGCCAAGAAATACACTGCAATTGCATGATGATTCAAACTCGCAAACACACCACTATCATCACTTGTGCTCGTGCTATGTACCCGGCCTATGGCTGGGTTTCAGCCAAGGTATGTCTTGCGGCGGAGTGGCACAATCTACCCATTGTATGCTTTTGCTTTGTTCTTAGAGCCTTGTCTATCAATGTATCAATCAATCTGGCAGATGTCAAATATCTCCTTTTGCGAGGCTCTCTTTCAAGATTTCTCAAACTCTGTTTGCAAGATCTTCTGAGTTTCTTTCTTTCCTTCCAGTGAGATTTGAAGGCCCAACTTGTCAACTTCAGAAAAGTCAGGCCTTTCTCCTGGGCAAAGTGAGAGGGAACATCTACACGGAGTGGCCCACGCTGCTGGCACAAAGCTTTTTGATGCAAGCTTGGGTGCCATATTTCACCGAGAACGCTTTGCAGATGCACTGCTGGTTCTTGAGTATCTCAGCCTAACATAGCCCCAACAAGTCACTGAGTCACTGACTTGGCGATCATCTTGAAGGGATGTCTGAATCGGTTGACGCTGTTGACGCTGTTGACGCTGTTGACGCTCTGCCTTGCAGGATCTTCAAGGATTTTCCAGGAAGTGATGTGGGACGTGTTTGAAGTTTGCAAAATTTGCACAAATTTGCACTGTGCTGAACTGGAGGTTGTATGGTGGTGTATTGGTTCTTCTTCCCTCCAATGTCCAAAGCCTTGAAGGACATCGGCTTGCTGCCCCTTGGCACAAGGTCGGGCTCAAATCAGGTCACAGGCATCATCAGGCATCCCACCTCCGGCTGAGGCAGACGTGGTTGCTGATGATCTTCTTTTTCTTCCTACCGTGGCTTCTGATCCTGATCCCCCTCTACACACATGAGGAAGTGGATTGGTACAAGGACATGTATGACATGTGCACTTGCACCGAATTCACCAGATGTTGGGATTGGGCTGTGAAATCGCGCGGCAGGAGCACGACTTCTACCAGACAGATTCCTATTTGGATCTTGGAGTGATCATGCTGAAGTACCATCCAATCTGCTACTTTCACGAAACTCGGCATATGTTTGAAACTGACTTGAGAGGGCCAAGGAAAATGGTGGTTTACTCTGTTTAGATCTGTTTAGTATGGTTACAGATGTTACAGTATGGTTTAGTAATGTGCCCCATGTCGTGGATTGTTTGGCGAAAGGGTGCTGAGCTCGCTGAGGTGTTCATTCTGGGGATGCTTTTGGCGAAGCTACGACAGTTGTTGGATGTGCATGCAAGATCTTTGCCTCATGGCACCTCAGCTAGCTGGGTTTTGGACAATTTGTTTCCGAAATTGAACGGCCAAATGTGAAAAACCAAAACGTCCAAAACAATGTGACTCTGATCATTACAAATCATCAAATAGCTCTTGGGTTTGGAGTCTCAAGATGTGTCAAGTTGTGTCAAACAGGCTTTCAGAGCTGCATCTCTTGACCTCAGGCTGCTTCTCGTGGCGAAATCCTTATAACCTGGTGCTCCAATTCATTGCGCCCTTGGGTTACGCCGTAGCTTGGCCGGGAGGTGCCATGGGTGCCATGTGGGGAGTGCCACATGTGGGGAGTGCCTGTGGGGAGCCATGGGAGAGCCATGGGAGAGCCGAGCCACTGAGGGGGTGTTCATCGTTTTCAGCGACCAGGATTTGGACGCCAAGGCCTGGGGATACAAACTTTCAGCTCGTGTCTCAGAGCCTTGGCAGCCTCATGGTGCCTCATGGTGCCTCATGGTGCTGGAGTCTGGAGTGATGTTTTGTGTGTTGTGATGAGGTTCACAAGTTTCTCACAAGTTTCTCACAAGTTTCTCACAAGTTTCTTTGTGTGTTTGATATTTGATGAGGAGCTATGAGCAGCTAGGAGCTTTGAATAGCTTTGAGTCCTTGTTTCATGGCAATCTCAGGTCTTGTTGCCCTTCCAAGCGATGATCCTGTTTGGATTGGCTGGACTTCCAAGTTTGCCCTTCCCTCTCTTCTCCTACGCCTTTTCCATGATGGATTTCCTGGAGAACTATTCCTACGCAGCGACTTGCTGGAAAGCCCCGGAAAGCCCCGGTGCGATATTTCGATTGGACAGAGACCATCAGTGAGACCATGGTAAAAGAACAACTTTGACATAGAGAACAAAGCACACACTTTGCTCAGTGAGAGAACAAACGAAAAGCCAGGAAGTGACTTCGGGCTGGGTGTAACTCTGTGTGATAAGCTGTGTGATTTGGGTGTGATGGGTGGTGTGATGGGTGGGATATAGGATGATATGGGATGATAGGGGTACAGTGCAAGGTTTATGTCTTCCAGTTCCTGCTGTACGCTCTCTGGCCGCAGACGGGTCACGTGAACCTGCCATTGTTCTTGGTCTTTGTGTATGCCTCGGCCTATATCATTGGCAACTGCATTCAGCAACCGCTTCAGAAATGGTGGGCTGCACATCCCAATGGTCAGCTGGCGGTGCCATTTTTGTTGGCGGCTTTCTTCATGGCTGGCTGCTTCTGCCCGACTTTCGGTGAATCGGTGCCAACAATGGAAGATCTCCCAAGAGTGATCCGACTCAACGAAGCCATGGTGGACATGGATCTGGGCTTGACGGATGCTGGCCATGTGGGACCGGGAGAAGGTGCTGCCATCATCAACCCTTCAGTCCTCCTGAAGGATGACGAAGTCATAGTGCTGGCCAGAAGACATCGCCGTGAGACACGGCAGCAGAATGGCTGGTATGAGGCACCTGATGGAGAGAGAACTAAGGCTGTGATCATTGAGCAGGTGTGGCATTCGACCATTTTGATGGGATCCCAAAAATTTAGGGATCAGACGTTGGTTACTCAGATGTTTGATCATTGGCCCAGAAGCAACATGAGTTTGCTGGGCAATTTGAGCTTAGACAGCTGGGACGGACTTTCCACCAAAGATGGTGATGCCTGGAGAGATCTCTGCGTGGTGGAAAGATGGATCCCCAGCAACAAGACCCTGATGCGATTGGTGGTCACCGGCCCAGAAGATCCCAAGATCGTCACGACTGGGACGGGCTACGAAATCGCCTTTGACTCACAACCACCAAAATCTGTCACGACTTGCCGAAGAAATACCAAAGGCATGTTGGATTCGGTGGCACAGAATCTTTCCTGCACAAGTTGTTGTAGTTATAGTTGTAGTTGTAGTTGTAGTTGTATTTGTAGTTGCAGTTGCAGTTGCAGTTGTTGTGTTTGTTGTTGTTGTTGTTGTAGTTGTAGTAGTAGTTGTTGTTGTAGTAGTAGTAGTTGTTGTGTTTGTTGTTGTTGTTGTTGTAGTTGTTGTGTTTGTTGTGTTTGTTGTAGTTGTAG